TGAGTTGAGTGGGAACGTGGCATGGCCACGTCGGGAAGAGAGGGTGATGGACGGATGGAAGAAGGATCCGTGTTGCTGGTTTTGCCGCGGATGCGCGGGGTATGGAAAGTGCTCGGGAGGAGAGTGTACTGCAAGAGGACATGGAAGGATGGGAAGGCGGAGGGGGAAGAAGAGGATTGGCAATGCATGAGCACACTTTTGAGTGCTGGATTCGAGGCACAGGGAGCGATTGGGATGGAAGTGAGAGGGATAGGGTGGTGTGTGCGGATATAGCGCGGCGGGACTCGGGGCAGAGTGGACGGGTTGGGCGAATACACTGAACGGCTACGTGACGCAAGTCCCTTGGCAGTTGCCTGGGCCAATTAAGGGAGGGGGAGGGGGCGATGGCATGAAAGAAGGGAAGCAAGAAAAAAGTACAAGCATGAAAGTAAAAGCAAGAAAAGAAAGCGAAAAACCCGCCATCAATAGGGGGCATCCCCATTTGTAAAGCTAAAGCTAAGGCGAAGAAAGCTGAAAGCGAATAAGTGAAGCTGATGCTTAGGTAAAACAGAGAGCTGTCAGCTTTACCTAAGCATCAACTTCATAAATCGGAAGCATTACCTAAGCATCAGCTTCATAAATGGAAATGTCTTTTGCTGATAACGGATTTTTCGCTTGCTTAAGGCTTCCGTACTTATGAAGCTGATGCTTAGGCAAATCTTCCGTATTTATGAAGTTGATGCTTAGGTAAAGCTGAGGGATCAAATTGCTGACGTTTCTGAGAGCTTCCAGCTTTACCTAAGCATCAGCTTCACCTTATTCGCTTTCAACTTTCTTTAACTAAGCATCAGCTTCATAGGTGGGGATGTCCCCTACTGATGGTGGGTTTTTCGCTTGCTTTTACTTTCTTTCTTGCTTGCACTTTTTTCTTGTCTTCCTCCTTTCAAGCCATCATCTCCTCTCCCCTACGTGGCTACTCGACGTTGCCACCCAATCACCGCTTCTCCCGTGCCTCCGACCCCGGGCTCCACCCCCACAGACTAGACCCCTACCCCTTCCTCCTTCCCCCC